ACAATCGGCAGTTTTGATGGACTTTAGATTACGCTTCTAGAATGGGCTCATGCCTGGCTACAGCCGATGACCATTCGCAATAAAGGTCATTATCATGACTACGCCTGGCTACAGCCGGTAGTTCTGACGACCTTTTATTTTATAAGGTATAGAGAAATATGATGCAAAATTCATAATTACTGTATACTGCTGATATCTCTTAACCTTATGATTGGATGCATATTTCGACGAAATATCATCTAGAAATTATTTGTGCACGATGTGGAAGTGTAAGCATAATATTCACGCCTGGCTTCAGCCGGTGATTATTAAAGTATTATAAGTTACAGCTGATCAGCATACGCGTATTTTGATCCACATTTAAATAGTTACACAGTGTCCATATCGGAAAATTAATATCAATAATTGTTTTTAATATCAAAAATTAAATAAAGCTGGTACTGGTGTCTAATTTCGTATATTAATCGTGTTTAGTTTTACATGTGTATTTTCATCAGTGATTTCGTCGCTATATATGATATTAATATTTTTTCTTGGCGAAAGTGATCGGCGTGAACAATGCGAACCGGAAAATTAAAATTCTTTTGGATCAGAATTCGAGACTTTCTTGACGATGAGATTTTTACTAAATATTGAACAGATCTACATTTTATGTAAAACAATGGCAAACCCTCAATCCGAAAATAATTCATTAAGAACATTGAATTCAAAACTCGTGGTTGAGATTACTGAACTTAGAAAGAAATATGCTGAGATTGAGACCAAAAAGGAAGAGCTTGAAATCAAGAACTCTAAAATTTCCGAACTTAGAAGAGAGAAAGATTTGCTTATGGCTAGAATCATAGAATTAGAACAATCAGCAAAAGAAAGTGTAGAGAATGAGAAGCAAAGTCGGATAGAAAATTCTAAGCTTAAGGGTAGAGTCGTGAAACTAGAACGTGATATCGAGGAGATCAAACAGAAATAAATTACATCTAATATTTCAGAACCTCGTGCGATATATCCATGCCAAAATCTCCAGAATTATCAGCAACTACCCAATCATCTATTTCTCATGAAATAAATTCTAACGACACGCTTAAACAGATAAACATACAAAATGAGGATACCTCAACATCTAATATATCGGACGCTTCAAATTCTAATGTAGACCCCTTTTTATCTTTTTCATTTGAAGATACAGACTTGATTGTTTATATAGATCTCAACTATATTACTAATAGAAACTATCAGAAGTATTATCATAATTGTTACTAGTTCTGCTTTTATAAATAAGAGTCAATTGTCTAATTTAATAATATAATAAAAATAGTTTCTAATATATTGAAAATTTATTTTAGTTATAATTTTTATTTTATTTATTTTTTAATTGTTTCTTTAATATTCTTATAGATATTTAATTAATAAAGATTACTTTATTGAATGTAGCATATTATATAATTTGTTGAAAATTAAACAATCTAGAAAATCTAAAAGAATGAAATGATCTAAATGGTCTATTTTTAAAAATATAAAAGCAATAATAATTTATTCAAAAGTAGGATAAGTTTATAAAAATTACTTTACTTAATTTTTGAAAAATTAGATATTTTCTCTTAATATAAAAACAAAAAATTTGTTTTTTTTTCTTAATTTATTAATAAGCTTAGGTTCTAAATAAACTATATTTCTTATTAAACATTATATAATATTATTAAAAAAATTCCAAATAATTTTGTTTAAAAATATTTTTTATTATAACAAATATTTAAAAGTAATTCTATTTGGATTTATTAATCAAAAATAAATTTAATTATATTTTAGTAATAATAATAAAAATATTTTTTAAAAAAACATTTAATCAGAATTAATTTTTTTTAAAAAATATATTTAAATAAATAATAAATTTATTAATTGGATTTCAAAAATAATATCATATTTTGTAACTATCTATTCTAAATACTTATGATAATCAATATAACTTAATTTATCTATTCTTGTATTATTATTTTTTTTAATTTGCAATTATATCACAATGACATGTTTTTATTAAAAAATTAAACTAAAATCTATAATAAGTTATAAACTTTTTATAAAGTTACTAACTTGTCTTTTTATATAAGTACTCTAAATCAAATCTTGAAAATAGTATTATACTTTCTTAATAAATTGATTATGAACACTATTTAACAAAAATATTATCAATAGTTTATTACTATTGATTAATCTAAAAACCAATAAATTGCAAGTTAAAAAAAGAAATAAAGAAAATAATTGAGAAAAGAAAATAATTCAAGACCTATTAAAAAGTCCAAAAATAAAAATAATTTTTTCTTAAAAAAAAATCTAGTTAATTGAAATAGTTTTCTTGCTTCACTTTAATTTCAAAAAAAATCTTCTTTTTTATCACCTGTAGTATTAAATAAGTCAATTCAACTAATCTGTTATTTAAGCAAGCACTGAATTAAAATATTTAAAAAAAAAGTATTTAAATATTGGTTTTTATTCATTAAAGCTTTGTTATCACCCGAGAAACTTAAATAAGATATAAAAGTCTATGATTTATATTATTGATCACTTAATCTTTTAATGTTATAGATATTTTTATTAAGAGATTTGAACTTATAAGGATAAACATTTTTGAAATATTCTTTTTAATTATCAATAATATTATTGAAATATATAAATATAATCAATAGAAACTTGTTTGACTTTTAAAAAATTAATATATTTAGTATTAGCCAATCACTTTTTGTAAGAATTTGTGTTAACAAAAATTAGGATTAAACTGAGATAGTAAAAATAAAAGTTTTAAAAGAATTAAAAAGGATTAAAATAAAAAAAATAAATCTTTTAACTATAATAAACTACTATAAATCTCTCACTTCAAAGATTAAAAAAGTTATTAGATACTTTATAATTAGATCTTATTTCTTTAAAAACTTTCTTACTATTAGTATTAAAGATATTACTTGATTTTATTTAATCACTAGAAGTTTATTTTTGAGTGAACATGTTAATAAACAAAAGTAGAAAAGTAATGACAATTCTTAAAGTCATATTTCAAGTTGTTTTAATAAAAGTAACAAGACTTTATTAGCAAGAAAATATAAAAACTTCTTGTAAACATCTTTTTTACATATGATCAGAAAATTAACATTTATTACTTATATTATATTTAATTAATTTTTCTTTATTATTATATAATTTATTAATAAATAATATTTTTCAAAACTTTCAAATCAAATAGATTGCCTTTACAACTTGAATAAATCTTGAAATAAATATTTTTTACAAGATTAAAACAATAAAAAGAAAAATAATTAATAAAAAATATATAATAATAATAACTTAAAAATAATTAAAAAAATAAGAAAAATAAATAATACATATACTATATAAAAATAAATTACATCAAAAACAAAATAAACAATTAAAAAAAAAATAACAAACCTAATTTAATTATAATTTTAAATAAAATTAAGACTGAATCTTTATTAAGATTTTACAATAATTTTCTAATTCTATTGCTAAAATAAATATATCAAAAAATAATAATTAAAGACAAATAAAATTAATATAAATATTAATTTTTTAAAAAAGAAATCAATATTTTCTTACTTGGTTTAATAAATTTAATAAAAAATATATAATAAATTATATTAATAAACAGTTTAAATTTGAAAATTTTTTTTCATACAGTCTGGTCCAAAAAAAACCAGAATTTGTTTTTTTTTATTACACAATAATGGTATTATAGAATTATATGAATTTTTATTTATATGTAGTTTAATAAATGTATTTTTAAAAAATAAAGTTTAATATGAGATATGCTTCTCCTTATTTTCAATAATTAGTTTACAATATCTTTTTATTGATTAAATCAATTCTATTAGAACAAATTTTGATATTTTTT